ACTCTCCCAAAATGCCTCGCAGAGCCTGCTCCTTCAGGACCTGCATAAACTCTCTCAACTCATAGCTATGAATTAAATTTCAAGAATCTGAAACAGCATACATGGAAGATGCAAACTATCTCTTGAACTTTCATTCAGCATTCTTTGCAAGTTACACTGGTATTTTTGACTTTGAGCATACTTGGTAGACTGAGTTTTCCCATTAAACAGGACCACTCTGCTACAGAGGCATCCTGGCCGTAGTCATCTCAAAAGATTGAACAGTTTCCCTTGTTTGTTCACCTGGGACACACTGCTGTCACAAGACAGGGATACAGCAGAACATTTCAACACAGCAGTTAAGAGATGTCTCAGAGGTGAGGCTTCCCAGATTTGGGAATTCTTGGCATTCTTGCACTTTGCAGCAAAAGGAGAATGAATTAATCATTCACTGTACCCTGTCACTGTTCAGGAAAAAAAACCTATCAAGTTAGTATTAAAAAATAATTCATTTTATTTCCTTGGATGTTTAAAGTGTTATGAAAACAAACTTCAGATTCATCTTGCTCTTTCATGTGGAGACTTAGTAAATTCAATACATTCTATTTCTAAGTTACAAATTGAATACATTACTGAAGATACTTGTGGAATTTCACAGTTAAGTCCTCATAACCAGTCATAATCATCACATCTGTTATGATCTGAAAAGGGAAGTTTAAAGGAACTAAATGCTTCCAGTTTTCTACAATCACATGACATCTATTCTGATAACAAGTTGAATCTGCCAGACTACCAGGTTTTGGGCAAACTCTTAAGGTGAGAGAAAGCTTCAATGCATATAAAGAATGACACAGAGACAGGGAAATACTGAAGCTTTCGCGACTGCAATGCTGCATATCAGGTATGATAAATTCTAAGAGTAGATACAGTGCTATATAAGATGCCCATGCTCTTCCTCAGAGTTGCCAAAGTAATAACTGTTTCCAGTTAAGCTACAACATAATGGAGGCTTCAGTTGCCTTGGTCCACTACCCTTTTAATTTTGCCACACAGGGGAAGTTACCAAAATTAAAATAAGTGCAAAAATCTTAATAAAGCAGTAAAGAAATATTTAAGGACATATTTATCTCAGTCACTAAACAAGTGTGTGCTTTCTGGACTAAGAGCTGCTATGGAAAGTCCAAGCTCTGAAGCACTATCTAGCTGCAGGTTTTAGAGGCCAGAGAAAGGCACAGAATGAAACAACACACACAGGAGGAAAAAAAACACACCTGGGCCATTCTCACCCATCCCCATGCTGAGACACAGCAGTGGAGCACAGCACAGGGGCCTGCCTCACTTGGCAGAATTCTGAATTTCCTGTGCTTCAAATGCAGAAACATACTTCAAGTGTTCTGAGTATTTTTAGACTTGATTGGACCCAAATTTTAGGAAACAGTCAATTACTCTAAACAGACGATAATCTGACTGTCGTGAATTTAGTCTCATTTGGCCCTGTCTCCACCACACAGAGGTGTCTCTTCATGTTGTTTCTTTATCCAAAAGAGTTCTAATGTAGCCAAAGGCTTATGTCAAAATGTTAAGAGAGTTAGTCCAAATAAGATCATCAGACTGGTTCCAGAATGTAGTTATTCATTTTAGTAACATCTTCCCACTCTTAGCTCCAGAACTCAATGTATAAATAGCACCTGAATTTGAACGCTTGGCTGCTCCTATCACAAACTGAAGCTTGAAATATGGGGTTCACCTCCTACAGATTTACTGTAAGGACTGATTGCAGCAGAAGGAAAGGATGAACAAAAATAGTGCTTCACCCAACCACTCACACCATTTATGGTGCTCCCGCCCACAAGACTCATGGCATTCTGAAGACACAGCATGAGATCGTTTGTGATCTGATCCCAGCATCTATTTAGTGTCCCTGCTTATCAAAGTCACTGTACAATAACTGTTAATATTGCTTGTAGAGCAATATTTGATAGTTACCACACTAAATTCCTCCTTCATAGATGTTGAGACATTATGTCGGGGAATCTCCTGCAAAGCTTTGCAAAGTAACCCATTCCTGGCAGGTAAGATACTACAATATAAAACAGGAGTCACCCTGGCAGCCTCCAAGCAGCACACATTCCAGATTTACTAGTCATTTACTTTTGTCTGTCAGATACTGCCACAAGGCAGGTCAAGCAGAACACAGTCAGGAGGTTCTGTCAGGCTGAGCTATGATGTCTTACTATGGGGGAAAAATGATTCTTCCTTAGTGGGAGATGCAAGCCACCTCCAAAGCTTACCACACAGGTTCACAGATGCTGGAAGGTGCATACCAGCAGTCTATTATTCAAATGGATAGTAGCTTTTCTCTTTTAAAACAGGCATATTCCTTCTAGAGAGGAACTGCACTTAAAAGAGCAAAGCAGTACCAGCAGCACAAACACTGTACTGTGAAGGTGGTACAGCTTTGAATCAACCAACTTAGCAGTGAAACCCAGGAGCACTCAAACAGTCCCTTTTCCACAGGTTAGCCAGAAACTGCTGTGCAGCTCAGAAGAACAACAGCCAACACTCCCAGGTATATGGATTTCATCCTATGTGTTGGAAGCCAGCCTTGCAAGAGATTTTTGGAAACATAACACAGAGCAGCATCAACATAATGAGGTTTAAGTCTCTGATGCACCAAAGCTAACTCTGCTCTAGGATATCCCAAGCTCTGCCTGTGCCACGGTGCCACTGTGCTGGCAGGGCTGAGCAGATACTATTCAGTAGACAGCACTTTGCCCCATCGTGTAATATTTTCATGTCTCAATTCTTTATTTATTAGTTATCAGTAATTATAAGACTACTTCTGCCTCTCCAAATATGATGATTCAATATCTGACTTCATTAATAAAATACTTTTTTGCCAAGCAGTAAGAAAAGTGAATTCAACATCACTTTAGAGCTTGTAGTAGAGCTTGAAGTGGGAGAAGGCAGCTTTGAGCTGCAAGAAGCTACAGGAAGCAGATGAGCCACATAAAGGCAGGAAAGCAGCAGAAGGCAAGACTTACTGAGGCTCTCATGTTACAAGAAGCGTAGTTATTAACAGGCACACAGCACTGCTCTAGTTTCTCGTTCCAACTGTGCCCACCATAGTTTAAACAGTGAGCACACAGAAGTTCCCCTGCACTCCAACAATTCCTCCACCCCTCCCAAATGAGAAGATGACTCATATTGTTTACTCTGTGTGTCTTTAACAACTAAGGCAGCAGTTTCTGCTGTTACATCCAGGTATGTATAGTTTATATCTATCTATTTCATGGGTATCCCTTTCAGTTTATCCTGAAGCAACTGAGAATAATCTGACATCTACTCAGATGTGCACTATTTTGAGAAAGAACTTGCAACTTCAATTCTAAGTTGCTCAAATTTTCAGCAGCACGCCAGGCCTTTCAGTCAATTATGTGGGAAGACCACCTTTTTAAACACCAGAAAATTAGCTGATCACCTGTTTCCCCATTGTTCAATGTAAGTAAAACCCCCAAATTGCTACAATCAAACTGGTACAACAGGTTTACAATAATGTGCGACTGAAGTTCATAGCTAGCATGCTCTGAACAGACAACTCTCATGGATAACCAGAAAGGCCAACCTGTCCCTCCCTTGATTACAAAAAAACCTAATAGGAAACGTGCCTACTGTAAAGATGACTTTGACCAGCAGTAATACTGAAGTGAAAGTGTGCTTTCATTTATACTCTTGCATAAACACCATTCAACTCAAGAGGCATGTTGGATACTTTTCTCTTAAGTATAGGAGACAGAGAATTAAATAGAACAGAAGAAAGCAAAACAGAGACCAAATAACGAGACCACAGGGAAAAACTGTCACACAATCAGCATAAGCTCACTGAATTATTGACCCAACACATCTTTTAACAATGGAGTTGAAATTTAAGTTTCTTTTCCTGCACCTCCTTCAGAAAGGATGCAACAGCTGGTAGAGGCACGGCAGTGGAATGCAAAGGAATCATTCTTTAAACTGAAACAAGCAGAATTGCTAAAATAGTAGCTCCGCCCACACCTGCTCAGCCTAAATGAACCTATGTATGTGTGACTTGCCTTACCACACAAACACTTGTGCCTACAGAATTGCACATTAAATTATTTTATATGCTGATCCCTGGGGATTACTAAAAATAATTAGGAAAGAGAAGTTTCTCTTCCAGGTTACAGGTCAGACCTGCTAGTGTAAGTCAGCATCACACTGGAATGCTTGATGACTTCAGTTCTACTGACTTCTGAGGTCACAACACTGATACAAGGGACAAAGGAATGTAACAGTCCAGCTGAGCACTGTAGAAGCCACACCACAAAGAGTTTCAGCACTGTCAGTTTCCTGGTTTGATGGCCACTGTTACAAGTGCGCATTTTCTAATAAAGGGCCTCGGTATCTGACAACAGTCCATGCCAAGAAGAATAACTTCCATGTGTTTAGCTTAAATAACTAGTTCTGAAATTGCAACCTACGGCTATGCAGGTTTACAGTACCTGCTGCCCAAAGCAAACCCTAATTTACTCTGATCTAGATTATCATGGGTGGAGCGGCGGACAAAAGCTGTAAATTTCCATCTTTTATCGTGCTGGAAGAGGAATGCGCTATCGAGTATCACTCATCAAGAAGTCAAAGCACGTCAAAAGTCCACCCATGACGAGCAAACCTACTTGGCAGAGGAGCTGCCGACAGCCGTGCCCGCTCGGGACCCTTCGCCTACAACCCGGGCGCGCCCGCACAACGCGGCCCCCGGCCTGGAACAGCGGCCCGGCCAAGGAAAACGCCAGGCCCGAGGCTGCCTCATCCAGCAGCGGCCCCAAGGCGGCGGACGCGGCTCCCGGGGGCGCAGCAGCCGCGCCCCGACCCTGGGGCTGAGCGGCCGGGCCGGCCTCGCCCTCCCTGTCCTGTCCTGTCCTGCCTTCCCCTCCCTGCCCTCCCCTGCCCTGCCCTGGGCCGGCACAGCCCGCACGGCAGCGCCTGCGGGCCGCGCTCACCTCCTCCGCCTCCTTCCCCAGAGGGATGCCCATGGCCCGGAGGCCCGTCTGGAGCTCGGCAATGTCCACCCTGCCGTCTTCGTTGAGGTCCAGTTTTCGGAAGAGGTTGGCGTAGCGGGAGTCGCCATCCCTGTTGCCGTCGCAGGCGGCCGCGGGCAGAAGGAAACCTCGCAGGAGCTGGAACATGTCGGGGCCGTGCAGGGAGGACGGACGGACGGTGTCCCTCGGCTCCCGCCAGCTGGGCGCGGACGAGACACCGCCCGCGATGCTGCCAGGGGAGGGAAGGGCCGGCCCGGAGGAGGGAGGGAAGCAGGGAGGGAGGGCGGGGAGCAGCGGGGCTCGCTCCGCCCGTGCCTCCCTCCCTCTCTCCCTCCAGCCCCGCCGGGCGGGAAATGCGCGCTAGGGGAAGAGGGCGGCCCGCAGCCCCTCGGGCTCGGCACTGCGCTCCCGCCCGCGCTCACACGCTTCTGCCAGCCCAGCGTTTCCAGCACAAGCTGGAAAAGACTCAGTTTGGATACTTGGGCTCATTCGAGTCCCCCCCATTCTAGTCTAGCGGTGGAGGGCTCAACTGAGGTGTATGAAGAGCATCCCAACTTAAGGGCAGTCTGAAAGCTTGGCTACTTGGCCTAACAGAATAAACATTAGAAGAGGAAACCCCTAGGGTTTTTATTTTTTTCTTCATAATGGCTTCATAAATAAATCAGTGGAGTTAATGGAGAAGTACACAGGTGGTCTAAGAGTAAATGGATAGAAAATGTCACTAAACAGTGTCTCTCCACAAGAGACTTGCAGTGAAAAGGAATTTCAGCTTCCACTGAACTGAGTCTTGCTTTCGTAGTACATATTCAGCCAACACACAACCATGGAAAATAAATTTTATCCTTACAGCAGAAACCCTGTAACCTTGCTCACAGAATAACTAATGAAGCTATTGTGCCACAGTGTCTGACCATGGACTAGTGTCTGAAAAACGGCTACATGCTAATAGGACATGCATGTATAAAGATTGCTGGATTGTGTTATAGGTTCATTGCACCACAGAGTAAGTGGTGTGGGAAGGGACCTCCTGCTCAAAGTGGCTCATCCATGAAGTCCAGCCAGGTTACTCAGGTCTTTATTTCAGCCTTGAAGCCCTCCAAGGATGGAAACTAGACAATGTCTCCAGGCAGCCTGGCCTAGAGCCTGGCTGTCCTCTTAGAGGAAGAAAGATCTTCCCTTCTAAACACTGAGCTGTTCTTGTTTCACTTTGTGTCTGCTGTCTTCTATAATCCCACCATATCCCACTACAGAAACCTGATCCTATTTCCTTTTTAAACTCTCTGTAGGTACCAGCAAGGTAGAGGCCTCCTTTAGAGTCCCTGCAAAGCCTTATTTTCTCCTGGTTGGCTAGTTCAGTTTCCTCAGCCCCTATTCACAGAGCAAGTGCTCCAGCCCCCAGACATCATGGTGGCTATCTGCTGAACTCTCCAGTTTATCCATGATCTTCAGGCATTAGGAAGCCCAGTACTGGACTAGTATATAAATGCAGTCCTGTGCAGAGTAGAAGAGGATAATCTCCATCTCCCAGCCATGTTCCTGTTCATACAGCCCAGGACAGTGCTGGCCCATGCTCAGATTTCTCTCTGCCAAGACCCCCATGTCCTCTCAGTACAGCTGCTCCTTGTGGTTGCAAGGGACTATTCCTTCCTATGTACAATACTTTATGCTTGTCCTTGTTGAATTTCATAAAGTCCCTGTCATCCCATTCCTCCTGGTTCTCTGAATGACAAGCATACCAGGGGGTCCTCCACAGTTTGTGGGAAATACTGGAAAACACTGGGATAGGCAGCCTTGAACACACTTTACCCCTACCTGGAATAAAGAAAGTGAATACTGCTGAAAGTCACTGCATCTCAGCAATGTAATACTGCTAAGAAGTACAGTTTTTTATTCCATGTTTATCCTCATACCATTATCCTTACAACTTTATCTAATTAAGTAACATTCTCTTTCATTCCTAACCAGAGTATGCAAGTAATATCTGTACTCATTACTGAATACAATACCTATCTAGGTATTGTATTACATACATGGGAATGAAAAACAGTGCTACCCTAAGCTCTCACTGCCTACCAATAGGTTCCTAATAAAATCCAGCATTGTTGCTGTCTGAGCTCTCAATGAGATAAAAATCTTATTTTCTTATGTATCATACTAAGTGCTGTATGTGTATATTAAGACCATACATCAATTAGCACCACTCAAAAAGTAACACCAACACTCTGTCATTAAAACATGTATAAAGTTAGTGTCAATAATCCAAAATTCAAGGTAATTAAGGAAGAGATGCACTTGTTCTTGCTGAACAAGGAAAAAAAGCTACTTGTGGCAGACCTGACTTTCATAAATGCATCTGCATAGGCATATTTTATATGGTGTGCCATACTGTTCAGTTGTGTAGGAAGAATGAGGAGGCCACAGAGAAAAGCAGATAATATCTTGCTGGTTTGACAATGAACACATGCAAATTGATTCTGCTTTGACTTGTATGCACAGCAGATGTTGGAAGTAGCAGCTGTGTGTCATTGATCCAGCTGTTTATCCACAATGAGACACAACAGTGAAATTCATTCTTCAGGTTTGCACTGGTCTCCCTGAAAATGGAGTAAGTAGCATAGAGCTGTGCACAAGGCTTAAATGCTTTGACTTTAGTATGACTGGCTGATAATAACGAGGAGGTGAGAGCCTCAGGTATTTCACACATGTTGATAGATAAGCCATTGCTCTTTGGAAGATACAGACACTCCTTAGGTCTGGTTAACCTCCTGCAGGGACATCTGAGACAGTGACCACAAACACAAATCCAGAGATCTGCCTCATTTACATCAACAAGAAAATGAGTCTCACTTATTATTTGGAAGCTAGCTCTACCACAACTATAATTTCTTCTACAATTGACCTTGTTTTGGAGCTGTATCATTTACAAAGTCCCTGTTTGTTAAAAAGGAGTCTTGAATAGTCCATGACTTGGCACACTGATTTTTACCTTGCTTGAAGGGACTGCAAAGGACCTACAAAGGACATCTGAGTCAAGAAATACTTTTGCCCAATACATCTTATTTTAAATGTTTCTTTGGGGTGGGTTTTTTGTTTGTTTGTTTGTTTTCATTCTATTCCATTTGTATTGATTTTAGTATTATAAGGCTTTTTGATATCAACACCGATTAGTTGTCACTAGAGCAAAAACATAGCCAAAAAAATGCATTTAACTTACCAGAAAAAGCTTTTAATTAGTGTTATATCAATACATATACAATAAATATTTAAATTACATCAATACAATCCACTTAGATGAAGTGCTATAAATATCACAAAACCTCAGAGACTGGAAGCAGACTTGATATATATTATTAATAGACTAAAAGATAACTCCACTGAATTGCATTATTAGGTGTCTGCTCTAGATACTGTAGCTCTTTTTCCATGAGTAAGGAAGTTCTTTATAATGATCCTAAGATTTTGAAAATCATCTACTGCATGAGCCAGAAATCATTTCTGGCATAACTCCAAGGACTGCAGGGAAGGTGAGTAATTTTTAAATTATGAGCTCAAACCCAGTTCTGCTGCACATTTAAAATGGCCTGTTAATTACATCCAGAGATTTTATGATGGAGCATAAAAGATGGAGCAGTCTTCAGTTTACACATGGGAGGATATAATCAAAGAACACAAAGACAATAAATATTTAAGAGGGAACAGACAAAGTTCAATGTTTTTAATTTATTTAAGGTAAAATGAATACTTGCTTCATTATATAGATGCAATTTGTTCAGTTTTAAGCTAACTTTAAAAATAATTCTTAAAAAAACATATGGAGTCTTACTATTATAGAATGAATTATAGCAAATTTAGATAATTTTATTATTTTCACATATTTTTCTTTACCAGTTCTTGTCTAGTAGACAACATTAGACTGGTTTAGCATGGCAAAGGTATTATGTCTTAATTCAGACAGACTGGTGCTGTAATTCAGGTAAATATCATTTACAAGCTAAGAAATCATGATTTAAAATCATCAGTGGAGGCTCAGCTGGGTTCTGACTTCTCCTGTGACACATGGCCATTTTGCAGGGCACAGAGAGCCCAGGACAGGGGCTGGAACCTGAGCTTTGTTCACAGCACAGCTTTAAACAGCCCAGCCACACAAAGGCAGGGATCCCTCAGAGGGTGATCCAGGGACAGCTCTGTGGGTCTGTATTAGGTGCAAACACATTTGGGGGACTGAGACTTCAGCAGCATGAGAAATGTCATTATTATAGAGTTCACCTACACACATTGCATTTAGCTCCCACCAACCTCCTTTTTAGCTCAATTTCATTTTAGGCATCCAAATGAATCTCTTGCATGACCAAGACACAGTGCTTACAATGCACTGGTGCAGGAAACACTGATCTGGGTACAGGCTGGAGCCCAGGCCTTCCATCAGAGCTAGAGCAGTGATCCACCTAAAGCCAAACCTAGAAGCATTCCAATGCTTTTCTGATGCTACTAACCTAGTAGGAAAAAGAGCTACATTTTGTAAAACATGTTTTTCTTGAATACTTGAGATTTTGTACCTGTAACATCCAACTTCTTTAAAGATTTAGGAATTTCTCCTAAAAAAACCCTCCAGTGCTTTAGTCTTACAGAAGTTGTTTATTTTTTTTATCAATGACAGCACAGGATTGTTACATTACCTACCGTGTTTATCTGTTTTTAAAAAACTCTTCTGCTATTCTGATGTGGATGCTGGTGAGAGCAAGGGGAAACAGTAGAGTTTTCCCAAGCTACTCAAAGGAAAACAGAAAGGAAAGAAATAATAAAGTTTAGCACCTCGTGTTGTGGACAGGAGGAGTGTGTGAAGAACATGATGTTTTGGTAAGAGCAAGTTTACAAGAAGTGTTGCCTTCCTTGGACCAATGAGCTTATTCTATCCCTGGCTCAGTGAACCAGTCTATAAAAGTGTGCCTACTCCTGCAGTAAATCGCTTCTTCTGCTTTCTAGATGAAGCCTGTGTTGCTGTATTTTTTTGCCACTCCTTAGCCTTACAGCAACACTCCGAGAATCTTTTGATTAAAGATTCTAAATATATTTTAAAATCTATACTTCTGACACTTCTGGCTTTGACTCTTTTGGTCAAGAAGGTTATACTGAGTATAGAGAGCCTTTTCTAGTCACCTGTACAGAACATAAATACAGCCCTAGAATAGATTGGGCTTTTTCAGATAAGGGTTGCCTTTGACTCAAACCT